GGCCCTGGGCTGGGTGGGCCTGACTCTATGGGGGGTTGTGGTGGGGGTCTTGCAGCCTCTGGGCTCCACGGGTGCCAGCGACAGGCTGTGCGCAGCCTGGTGTCACGTCCTGCCCCCCTCCCCTCGTGCAGACTGGGCTCCACCGTGAGTCCTGCCGGTCGCAGGGTAGGGGCCATTGCCCCCAAGCTGCGGGATGGCCAGGCAGGGTGTGGGGGGCAAACGGAGCGCTGTGGCATCCACTCCCGCAGCCAGTGCTGGGGTGCAGGTGGAGCTGGGCACTAGCAGGCCCGGGGCATTGGGTGCCAGGTCCATGAGCGTAGAGGAGCAGGGGGTCGGGCACTTCTCGGGGCCCTGCCATGGCTACTCCTGGGCGGCATCCATCTGCAGTGCAGAGGGAAAAGGTCCCTGGCCCCTGCTCCAAGGGCAGCGATGGGCCCGGGGGGTCGGGGCTGGGGCCTGCGTGGGGGTGACAAGCTCACTGGCAAAGTTGACAATAAACTGTGGGGAACTGCAGCCACCCATCGGGGAAGGCTGATGATCCAGGTGGACCTAGACAGATGAGTTAGACAGGCAGACCCGAACCAGATGCTGCTCAGCACTGAGCTGTGTAAAGTGCTTCATCTGGGGAGGAAAAATCTGCACAACCTTACAGGTGCAGTGGTGCTGCGCTACCTAGCACCATGTGCAACAGGGACCTGGGCTCATCACTGGCCATAAAATGAATGTGAGCCACCAGTGTGGAGCTCCAGTTAGCAGAGGAAACAATACTCTGGCATGCATCAACCGATGCGTCGCCAGCAAAACTCAGGAAGTTGCTCTCCCGCCGTACTTGGCATTGGTGAGGCTGCAGCTGGAGTACCGCATCCAGCTCTGGGTGCTGCACGTCAGGAAGGATGCGGAGAAGCTTGAGAGAGTCCAGAGAAGAGCCGCTCGTATGATTAGAGGCCTGAAGAGCAAGCCACGCAAGGAGAGGCTGACAGGCACGGGAGTGTTTAGCCTAGAAAAGAGAAGACTTTGGGGGATTTGGTGGCAGCTTACAAATATATCGGGGGAGAGCATCAGGGGCTAGGCAAGCAACTATTCACCAAAGCACCCCAGGGGAAAACCAGGAGCAATGGTCATAAACTCCTAGGAGAAGGTTTCTGACTGGATACAAGGAAAAACGTCTTCAGGGTTCGTGTGACCAGACTCTGAATAGACTCCCAGTGGGGGGGTGCAGGCACCGACCCTGGAGATCTTCAACAGGAGACTGGACGCACACCTCGCTGGGGTTGTGTGTCCCCCGCAGTCTTTCCTGCCCAGAGCAGGGGGCTGGACCCGATGATCGCACACGCGGTCCCTTCCAGCCCCTGTGAATCTGAGTCGCAGCTAGTCCAAGCCCTGCCTGAGGCAGGACCGGCCCTGCCCAAACCATCCTCAAACTCCACGTCAGCTTGCCCCCCGCCCCACCCTGCTGCCGGGAAAGCAGGCCCGCAGCGCCCGCTGTCCTCCGGCTGTGAGCGCTCACCAGGCCCCAGGCAGAGGCCGTGGGTGCAGTGAAGACCCCCCCATCTCCATCTAAACTTACTTTGCTGCAGCGTCACGTCCTCCCCCGTGCCACGACATGGCAACGATGCTTTCCCTCGACCCTGGCAGCTCTGAGTCGGCCCCTTCGCGCGCGTGGGGCGCCGGTGCAGACGGGCGCGGGGGGCAGGTGACGGCCTCTTGGCCAGTGCTCGAGGAGCAGGGCAGCAAACCGCGGCTGCCATCGTCTGTGCCGTTTGCTCTGGTGAAGATGGGCCGTGTTGGCACCCGGGCTGGTGCCCTGCGGAGAAGGGGAGCGGGCAGCCCGTGGCTGCAGAGCCGCTGGTGGAGGGCGGCGGGGGCTGCACACCAGAACAGACTTGCCCCCAGGGCTGCATGGTTCCTCGGGCAGCCCAGGAGGGCAGAGGCCGGGCAGGGGCATAACCAGGGGATGGGGATGGGGATGGAGCAGCCCAGCTGCCCCTGTTCAGAGCTCTCCCCCGGGGCAGCCACTCCTCCCCTGCCCAAGGAGACAGGGGCTGGTGCTGCCGGCTGCTCTGATTTCGCAGGCAGGGGGAGGTCCTGCCCACCGGGCACCGCGCCCCGGGGCTTTGCACGGAGCTGCCTTGGGGGAGCACATAGCCCACGGGCCTTGGGGGCCTGGACCCGCAAGGCAGACACAGGCCGGGGTGGGGGGACTGTGCATGCCATCACAGCCCCTCGCCAGCAGGGGGCAGGGCACGACTGGGCCCGATCCTCACCCGCCTCATCCCCCAGCTCAGCCCCAGGCTCCGATACCCCCGTCCTGGCTGGCGTGCGCACGGAGGCCTTGCCCCCCGCTCCCCTCGCACAGCAGTGGGGAGAAAACAAGCCCCAAGGTCATGGGCAGCAGGAGAGAGAGCAGCAGAGCCACCCCCACCCCCTGCCCAGGGCCTCCGCACCCATTGCCAGGGACAGGGCAGACCCCTTCCTGCAGCACCCAGCCCGGGCAGCTCCGCAACCCACGGGCACTAGTGGGGGGGCTCCTGGCATGCCCGGCGCCAACCCCAGCCCCAGCCCTGATGCAGGCTCCGGCGATAAATACAAGAAGAGTTTATTGAAAAGGAGAAGGCAGCAGGGTCCCGCGCCCGGGCAATAAACCTCAGGCACGGCCCCGGAGAGCACCGTGGGCAGGGACCGAGGAGGAGGCACATCCCCAGCCGTGCCAGCCCAGCCCGGAGGGCAGACGGGAAAGGCCCCGAGTACAAAATATGGCTATGGGAGACCCCACCCCTCCCGTATCCCTGAGGTGGGCACCAGGCACCCGGGCATGGTGGGGCCCAGTCCCTGGCGTCACCCTTGCTGCCCCAGCATCCCCCGGACCCTGGGGGGGCCCGACCCCCAGTAGCACCTGGGTGCAATGGGCCCCAGCCCCTCCCGGCACCAGGCCAGAGAGGCCGACGCTGCCCCTGAAACCCCTGCGCCGGTTAGCACCGTGCTGCAGGTGCAGCATTTGCCCCTGAGGAGACGACGACACCGGGGTGCTCAGCACCGAGGGGCTGGGGGCGGCCCTGCCCCGTCATGCCCCCCGTGCCTGGGCTCAGTCCCTGGGCTCAGGCCAGGATCTTCTGGGGGATCTCCACGGAGGCCCTGATGAAGATGGCGTTGTCCCGCACGTAGTTGCGCTTCTTGATGTCCTGGTGGGAGATGAACCTGGGGTAGCCGAAGCCCAGGGCGCTCTCGTCCAGGGATCTGCGCGAGGCCCCCGGCTTCTGGAAGTTCTTCCAGTTGGGGTCGGGGCGGAAGGTCTCGGTGACGTGCTGCGGCTTGGAGAGCGAGGGGTCGCTCTGGTCCAGCAGCGAGAAGGTGACGCGGTGCGAGAAGGGCCACTCGAGCAGGTTGTCGTAGGTGCCGGGCAGCACGCGGATGTAGACGGACAGGTGGCTGCCCTCCCCGCTCCCGTTGCCGTTGAGGAAGGCCGAGACCTGGAGCTTGTAGCCGTAGCGGTGCGTGTAGAAGGGGGGGCTGAAGGCCTCGTGGTTGCTGCGCGCCTTGGCCTCCTGCAGCTGCTGCGCGTAGTCCGGGATCTTCCACACCAGCGTCCCGTCGCAGCCCAGCGCCAGCTCCTCCACCTCCCGCCGCAGCTCCTGCAGCTCCTGGCGCTGCCGGCTCACCAGCGCCGACACCAGCCCCAGGTGCGCCTTGGTGCTCTCGTCCACGTGCCGGCCCATGGCCAGCTTGGGGCACTGCGGGGCAAGCGGCGGGCGTCAGCGGGGGCGCGGGGAAGGGAGCAGGCAGGGGCGGGGGGCACTGGCACTCACGCGGTGTTTGCAGCCGGCCTCCTTGAAGGGGCACAGCACCAGCGCCGTGCTGCAGTTCTCCTTCAGGTGCCCGGGCAGGTCCTCCCTGGCCACGCTGCCCGCGCCGCACTGGTTGGGGCAGGGCACGGGGTAGCGCGGACACTGGTACTGGTGGTTCTGGGGGCAGAGGCACAGGTGAGCCACTCCCCGGAGCCGCTCTCACCCCCATGCTGGGCCCCCCCCACCGCCGCTGGCCTCACCTGGATGGTGTCGAAGACGAACTCCTTGGAGCAGTAGGCGCAGGGCTGGGTGCGCTTGGGGCACTCGGCCAGCGCATGCTGGGGCAGCAGGCACCGCATCATGCGGGCGCCGCACTTGTTCTCGCAGTACACGCTCTCCTGCGGGCAGGCGCCTTGGTGGGTCTGGGGGCGAGAGCGGTGCCGTCACCACTGCCCGCGCGCCCGGCCCTGTCCCGCCCCGCACCCGCTCCGCGCACCTCGTAGGCCTCGCCGGTGAAGTCGCTGCCGCAGAACTCGCAGCGCAGCCGGCGCTTGGCGCAGTCGTGCTGCAGGTGGGCCGGCAGGTCGCGGCGCTGCAGCTTCAGGCCGCAGCGGTTGGGGCAGGGGATCACGTTGAAGCCGCAGGTGTTGAGGTGGGCCTGGGGGGAGCATGGACGGGCATCAGGGCACGGGCCAGGCGGCGGGGCCTTGGCATGGCACGGCACCCCCCAGCCCTCACCTGGAGGTGCTTGACCTGCCCGCTCCAGCGGCAGCCCTCCTCACTGTGGATGCAGCGGATGGTGAGGCTCAGCACCTGCGACTCCAGCTCGGGGTCCGGGTAGATCTGCGGGAAAGGCGGTGAGGGGCTGGCAGCTGGCATCCTGCACCCACGCTCGCTCCCGGGGCTGCATCCCCTCCCTGGCTGTCCCTTGCCCCAGCCACCCCTCTCCATCTCCAGGGTGGGAGGACCATGCCCGGTGCCCCCGCAGCCTTGCTCCTGGTGCGGAGCCCCCACCCCGGGCCGTTCTCCCCCTTCCCACCAGGCTGGCGGGGCTCGGCATGGCTCTCAGACAGCCAAACAAGCCGGCTTTGTTGAGCGACGGTGTTGGTTTCCCAGTGCCGCGGCACAAAGGGCCCTTGCTTCAGAGCTGGCTCGGGCACCGCAGCCCAGGCCAGGGGCTCTGCCAGGGATGGGCGGGGGCCCGGGCTGCCAGTCCCATCCGCTCGGACATGGGCATCCCCCACACCAGCCTCACAGCCCTGGGCAGAGCAGGGAGTGCAGACACTGCAACCTGGCACCCCCCGGGGAACCCGCCACACGTGGAGGCCACAGCTGCCCAGCCAGCGCCACGTGGCGAGGGAGCAGGCTCGGGCAGTGGGGCACTGGGCCAGCACAGGACCCAGGCGCCCGAGCTCTCACCTTGGCGTAGTCGAGGGGCAGCTGGTCCTCAGGGCACTTGAACACGCCTTCGCTGCAAGGGAAACGTGGCAGTCACGGGGGGCACGGGGCTGCTCCAGCGCTCACCAGGGACCGGCTCGGCCACTGCGCCCGACAGGGGGAAGCCGCGAGCGGCCACGGAGCCACCCCGGAGGCAGTGCCCCGAGCCTGGTAGCAGACCCTCCGGGCCGCGAGCCAGGGGCGGCTTTGGGGAGAAGCCACTCTAATCCCACCCGCGGCGTCGCCATCTGTCAGACCAGACGCCCCCCGGCAGCCTGGGGAGGGCCCAGCCCCCAGCCCCTCCAGTCTGATGCCTGGAGCAGCTGAACCAGCCCTCAGGGACCCTCGACAGAGAGGCCTGGGCAGCACAGCCCCTGCCAGGACCACGGCTCAGCCCCGCTCCCCTTGGACTTCCCAGCCCGTGCCCATCACCGGGGCCTTGGGGCAGCTCAACGCTGTCCAAGCAGCCCGGCCCGCCGGAGCCAGGACAGGCAGCGGTGCTGGAGGTGCCTTGGGTCCGCGTGGACGCAGCTGGAGGGCAGCCGGGTGCCGGGGGGGCTTGGCCCTGCTGGGAGCCAGTCTCCAGGCTGGGGCAGAGCCGGAGATGCGAGTGTCTGACAGCCGGGTGCTAAACACCCCGGGCTGGGGCCAGAGATACGGCCTGCGGGCCGGGGAGAGGGAGGGGGGTGGGGGGAAGCCGTGGCTTCCACCAGCTGTTCGCCAGATGTGCCGGCAAGCGGATGTGCAGCCCCCAAGGGGGCTCCCCCCCCCGGCTCTCAGCCCTGGCCGCCCCGCCGTCCAGCCCCAGGGCAGCCGGGCACGGGACTGGGATCACGGCCACGCACGTGCCTGTGGGGAGGCCGGGAAGGTCCCAGAAGCTGGATGGGGGGGGGGGCAGGAAGCAGCAGACACCCGGCCCCCCCAGCAGCAGCCAGCAGGCCCCAGGAAGGGGAGGCAGGAAGCCAGGCCTGGACCAGGCCCAGGGCCCTCCCCGAGGCTGCCTGCCAGCACCCAGGCCCCCGGAGGCTGCAGGAGGGCCGCGGGCACCCTGCCCCCAGCCCAGCCTGCAGGAAGCACGCCCTGCTCTGCCCTGCCCACGACGCCAGGACGAGCGCCCAGCAGCTGCACACAGGTCCACGTGTTGCCCCGACCCTGGAGCGTGGGAGCCGGCAGCCCCGGCCCCAGCACGCGCGAGGGGAGCAGGGGGCTGGCTCCACGCTCGCTGGCAACACGGGGGCGTCGCAGCCTGCCCAGGGCCTCATATGATGCCTATGCCAGGGGCCTGCTAGCTACCGCACGCTCGGTCCAGCCCAGCTCCCCTGCTGCTGGCCTGGCCTGCAAATGCCCTGGGAAGAGGTGCCCTGGGGCTTGACCCCCTGCCCCGCGCTCCCCACCCAGCTCCGTGTTTGTTTGCGAGCAGGTTCCCGTGGACACGGTTGCCAGGTGGCTCCGACTCGCCCTGGGGTAGCAACGACCGGCGGTGCCACTTCAGCTGCGTGCACATGCCACATGGGTACCGGGGGGTGTGATGTGCCCTGGGCATTGCAGGACCCTCCAGCTCGCGGGCTGGGAGCGGGCCTGAGCCAGGAGGCCGCGGGCCCTGCTCCCGGGGTCTCCAGAGCTGCACGTGTGTACAGCGCCGAGTGCACGGCAGCTGCAGGAAGGGTTGCGAGCGCCGCTGGGAGCAGGGGGCAGAGTCCCCGCTGCAGGGAGGGGCTGGACACATAATCCCCAGCAAAGCCCGCTCCGCGCTCACGGCTGGCTGGGCAGGGAATGTGCTGAGCCAGCACTTTGGGGCGGGGGAAAAGTCCTTGCCTCTGACCTTCACCTAGCGCTGGCGCGGGCTCAAGGTGACGCTGCGCGGGAGGGTTGCGGCACAGCCCCTGGCACCCGCAGGCCCCAGCACACCCAGTTGAGCAGCTGGCCCATGGACACGGCAGGCCACAGCCGACCCCCACAGGCCTGGGAGCAGGGGCAGCAG